AAGAAAGAGAGAGATTGATACATAATTGTTTGGAGAGCGGGACGAACAAGTACCTCAGAAAATTGTTGAGGAGTCCAATATAATACGCTCGCAATACGCTTGTCTATATTTTTGTTTTGGAAACTTTTTAACCAAACTCCAAATATTTTTGTCCCTTTCATTCAATAATTTTAGTGGCCCCAATTCCTCCTCATGTTTGCAAACCTTAGTCAGCTTCCCTCTTTTTAAAGGTATGACAAGCAACAATCTCAATGGTCCTACCAATTCCCCTTCAGATAATTTTCAGGCCTCTCTAAAGCCTAGAGTACTTGAAATTTTGTCTACACTTGCTCACTGGTCAAAGTATGTCAATTCAAATAAATAAATAATACATTAAAATATGTTCATTCATGAGCCAATACAAGTTGTCTGGCACAAGTTCCAAGCTGCAATTTTCAATCAGTGTGGACTTGACGGTTCTCATTCTTTCATCAATGAGAAAGTTGACAGGAGAAATTCCTTCTGCAGTTTGTGAGTTAAAATCACATCCAAATCCTTGACCTGTCGAGTAACAATTTCAGTGGTCCCGTTCCACATAATGTTTGTATATACTTCAGCAGTAGCCTTTCATCGTATTACATCTGGGTGTGAACAAACTTTAATGGAGTTCTCCCTCAAGTATTTTCAGAAGGCAGTCAACGTGAGAATATTTGAATTTCAAAATGACACTGCATAGGGAAAAATCCACATCCATTTCCAATTGTAAAGATTTGGTTTTTAGATATGGCACAGATGAGATGAGGACACATTCCCTTCTTTTCTACAAACTCAGTCTTCAAAAGATTGCAGAAATTTCCAAAAAAAATGTACAGCTTACGATCCAATAGACTCCATGGTTTGGCGTGAAAAGCCACTCCATTGCCAATACCGTTTCCCAAGCTAACGGCTTTTTTGACCTCTCAACAACAATTTCAGTGGGCTTTGCCTTCAATATTATTTCAATAAATTTCGATGCGGATGATAATGTTGATCAGAATATGACATACATGGGAATCACCCGCCTACACCTCTTATGATTATTCTGTGAGGTTGACATGGAAAGGACATGGAATTGAGTTGGTGAAAAATCCAAAACTCCTTTTAACAACCATTAATTTGTCAGGTATAACTTCACAGGGAATTTCCCGAGTCAGTTGGAAGCTTTAAAGCACTTAGCAGCTCAACCATGTCTCACCAATCATTCACAGGCAATATTGAACCATCAATAGGATTTGACCAATTCTGGGAATCTTTAGACCTCTCTTCAATAATCCTTACTGGACGGAATTCCGATCCAATTTGGCTACTTGACATCCTCGCAGTATTTTCTGTTTTCGCATAATCAACTTGAAAGGAGCCATACTACGGCCTCAAGTTCAACACATTTTGATAATAGCTCGTATGAAGGAAACACAAGCTGTGGTGGATTTTCCACTGCAAAAGGCTTGGCATTCTGGTTGAAAGGCAACAGTTACTGGACAAACCATAAGGCGAAAGAAGATGCAAACTCTGATGAAAATGGATTTGGATGGAAATCCTGTTTTCAACGGGATATGCATTGTGGAGCAGTGTTTGGTCTCGCAATGGGAATACTTGTGTTTCAGACAAGAAAACCTAATCGTTTTATTATCTGTCTTCATATCTAATTAACAAGATTTTTATTTCATGATGAACTTGGACTTTTGTTGTATCAAATGGATGAATAGCAGATTGTGCATTTGCATGCCAAAGTGAAGAAGCAGATTCTTTACTGTTTTGCTTCCAGAATCAAATGCGCTAACTTGGAACATCTACACACAAGCTCTTTATAAATTTTTTTTAATGCTATAATTTCCTCTCTTTTTTTATTGTTGTTTTCTTCTTCTTCTTTTTCTGTGTGTCTATATATGTAATATTTTAAAGTCAGACTTGATTTGTCCACTTGAAATTAAAATTCAAATCATGTGAAAAAGAAAAATCCAACAATAAAGAAATAGTTATTTCTCTTGCCAGAGGAGACTAAAGCCACCTTGCTCTACAGGTTCCATATTAATTGAAAAGTTGGTTGGTTTGCTTGTCTCTTTTCCCAAAATTGCAGAAGGGACAGAGTCGGTGTCCTAATTTAGTTCCCGGAGAACCAAAACAAATTTGCCAGCATAACTTAGTATTTTCCCTCTGGCGCGATAAGAATCACTATATAACCTGTCATAAATTTTATTTATGCAGCGACAACTGATAGAGTCAAAATTGGAAATTGATATGGCCCGTTTTTTTCAAAAAAATTTCAGTCACTAGAAAGTACTAAGTGAAACTAAAAATATTTTTTAGTATTTTTTTTTCATTAATCTTAATAAAATCTCTAGTTATTTTGAACAAGCGATTTTTTTTTTTTTTTTGTTGGACGGATGAACATAATTAACTATTTAATATTTTTTAAAAAAAAGAGGAATGAACTCATCAATGAGAAAAAAGTCTCAGGAATTAAACAATATTTTCCTATTTAATTAAATAATCGTATTAACATATTTTCATGTCTGGTGAGTTAAAATTCATGATGATTTACTACATATTGACTTTAACTTCCTTTTTACCATAGAACTATACGAAATGATCATAGCATATTGATTGTTATGTTTATATGCGATTGATCAATTAAACTAACTATACCGTAACGTATGTTTGCTTGATATAATTGTAAATTTGTACAAAAGTCAAAACTCACACTTTTCTCTTTTTTTTTTTTTTGAAATTCTAAACAAACCAAATGTTGACTCAATTAACTAATAGTTCTTTCTAATGATGCTACTAATTATGCTATTCAAATAAAATTTAAAATGTTTTAAAATACTCTTAAAGATGATCAATAAAAATTAACAGTTTTATTAATTGATTGGATATAATTTATTTTTTAAAATAATTATAGATAAATAAGAATATTTTAGATTTTTATATTTTATTTTCAAACTTATTAACTTTATTTGAAATTTTGCATATTCATGGCGTAATAATATATATTACTGTGAGTCTCCGGTTGGTCCCAAAAGGCGAATCCTCTTCCTTAGGTGATTGGTGGATTGTCCACATTCAAATTTTCCTATTAAATTCTCTTAAGCCCAGTTTAATTTTTGGTAATAAATTTCCAAATTTGGAAAATTTTAGTTAAATAAGTTTGATTTTCGAAATAAAATGTATTAAAAGAATCATAGGATCTTGGATGCAAATATATAATTTCCTTAATTAATAGAATTGGATTGGGAATCCATATATTAAATGAAATTGGTATTGAGGAAGACGGGGATGTGGCAGAATACTTCAAGAATAAATTAAAATTATCTGCAATGGTGCTTAAAAGAATATTATTTTTCAAAGAATTATTGACGATAATATATTAAACTATAAAATCAATGAGTGGTGAATTAAATTCTCCGGTGTAGTAACATAGTATATATAAATTGTTTCAGCAAGGGAGAACTAGTATTTGAATGGAACAGACACGGAGAGAGTACATGAAGCTTGATTGATACATAGTTTAAAGTGTAAATTGGGTTATTAGAATAATGCTTTTTTCTTAAATTATAATTTAATAATTGAAACCATCGATTCCTTAATAGTAGTCTAGAATTTAATAAATTGTTTAAAGGACGCTGTTAGATATCCTAAGTTAATAGAATGATTGAGAATATATTAGAAGCGGTTGAAACTTACTTTAATATTCGTAATTTTTAGTTGAAGATTAGTTGGGTGATAATGTTGATGTTTTAAGGGAGGATTGGGTAGCCCGACAGAAGGGCGTGTGAATTGAGTAAATGTTTAGAATGAAATAAAAAAAATGGTTTATGGCAGTCGGTGATAGTTGTTGTCCATTGCCAATGGAATGGGCCTTTTGAGAATTTATTACATGAATTATAGTTTTAAAAGCTGGTTAGTTTAGTTCAATTTCTAAGGAAAAGTTTTCCGTTCGAAATTTCGTAAAATTTTAGGCTAATCATCATTAATAATTTATGTTAATAGGTTTAGTTAGATTAATTCTTTAACTTGATATATTTAAAATAAATCTCTTGTATTTTTTATTTATTATTATTATTATTTATTAATTAATTTATTTTTCCAAGAAATTAAATTATTATATTAAATATTGTTTAATTAATACTCCTGTTACTTTATTTTGAAATTGAATATATGAATGGTTATTTCGCTCTTGCAATGACAGTCCAGTGTTTTTAATTACTTAATATGCTTGCGGCAATTGTTTGATTATTTGTATTGTTGATATTGCTATGCCTTGTTTGTGTGGAATTGGGATGAAGTGGGTTATCCATGGATTTCCCGCAAAAGGCGCCCTCCCGTTGGTAGAAAAAGAAAAAAGGAAGGGTATAAAAAAAAAAGGGAAGAGGGCTGGTCAGTGTGTGATTCAGACTGGTCTGCTAGATATAGGGATCGGCTCCCTGGTAACACGTTCATGAGAGAATGACCCATAATGGGAGAACAGCTCATCGGGGGGTTTCGGTGAGGCCACTGACTAATTTTCCATGTGATGTAATTATGTGAAAGTGATAAATTTTTGTTATTGTTGTTATGTCATTTGTGTGATCGCTTGCTTAATCTATAACTAGTCGGATGACTGGATGAATATATTTACACATTTATGTGAATGGCATGTGGTTGTGGCAATAATTAATTTATTTCCTTTATAAACTTTACATGTCCTTGTTTTTAACTTTTTTAGGAAGTAGATTCTTCTTGTCCTGATAAGCTCTGTTTCCTTCATACGTAAAGCTAGAAAAGAATTTTCTAATTTTCATTAATTATAAATAATTATTGTATGAGAAACTTATTTATATTTAATATTTATTTGTCAGTGAATTTCTACAGTTGTAGAATTTAATCACCTCTAGTCATGTATTAAATAGAATGACTATTGGTAATAATGTCCATTTGGCAATCAACAGTGAAAAATCTTGAAGCATAAGAGAATAAGATTTTAAGGTACTCCAATTTCCAAAAAAAAAAAAAAAAAAAATTGGAATTTACTCTTATATATTATAATTAAGTGAATTGGATAAGAACTTAGCTATAAATTCCCAACAGGAAGCACATGTTCAGATATAACCTTAAAGCTAGACATGGAGGTGACATGATATTTAAACGATTTTTTTCTTTTGTTCTTCTTTTAGATCTTGATAGGCTTTTTTTATAGGGGGATGATTTTCAGATAAAGAATTATTTTAAATAGTAGCTGCTTTAGGTATGGAAACATTTAACCCTCTGTGTAAACAATATATAATGAAAGGATATGTTTCAAATTTCTACAAAATCCCCAGCTGCTCGAAAATTTCTATTTCAAAATTCTTACCAATTTACAACTAAATTTTGATAAATCTAAAGATAATATTGAAATTCGTTCGGTGCAAATTAGCTATTTTTAATTATTTATTAAATTATCCTGGCAGCGCTTAACTTTTACCTGTTTAAGTAATTTTTATATACAAAAAGCTAAAAACTAAAATATTACACGGATTAGTTTTTGTAAAACGCTATCTTTAAATTCTGAAAGCTAGTTCAAAGATGCTATAAGCAAAGCAACCTAATATTTTATAATTTTATAATTTTAATAACGATTTAAAAAAAAAAAAGATTCTACATTCCACGATAAAGGTTTGCAACTGTATTTTTTTTTTTTTGAATAACAAAAAAGGCGCGTGAAATACACACAGCATAAAATACAAACTATATAAACATATAATTTTTAATCTAAACATATATTTTTAACATCATAATGCAATGCACAATTAGACATCTTTATTCAAATGCAAATAAACAAATAAATAGTATTAACAATAAACAACAATAATAAAATAAATGATAACAATAATAAATAAAACGCTATCTTAAACTCTAAAAGCTAGTTCAAATGCTATTGGCAAACGCAACCTACATTTATAATTTTAATAACGATTTAAAAAAAAACAAAATTCATTGACTAGTGTCCCACGACCGCGTTTTCATGGTTACTGGACGACACCCCTTAGGACCCCAAATAAGTTTAAGGGCCCCGAGGCCCGTTAGTAAAGCCTAACCAAAAACAAATTCAATTACTATCAATGTAAATTCTAAGTACTTTAGCCAAAATTGCCATGCGAAAAATAAACCTCATATTACGTATTATAATTCAGCCCCAAAAATTATAATTCAGCCCCAAATTATAACATCTTAAACATTTACAAATGGGGCTCAGCTTAAAATACACCACATTTATAATATGGGCTCATAGAATTATTTTTCTATATTAATACACAACTAAAGGTATATAATTCCTACAACTGTAGTCACTAACTGTTGTATACAGATAAGTTTTCGCACATTTATCTATTTCATGAATTAATACTAAAATTAGAGAATTCTTTTCTAATAGTGAAGGAAGTAGAGTTTTAGCTGGGATTTAGGAAAACCTACTTCCTGAAAGATTAAACAAAAGAGGTGTGAGTTTATTAATGAATAAGAATTATTCCACAACACATGCATTCACACGAATGTGTAAATAATTAAATCTAGTCATCCGACTAATTATATGATCACGCAGGCAGTCACACAATAGCACAACAACAGCACTTGCAATTATTAACATCTTCACATAATCACATAATCACAATAATGATGAAAATAGATAGATAATTAAATACATAAATGAATACTAATGATAATAATAATACAAGTAGAGATAAGAATTAATCTAATTAAACCTATTAATTATATTATTAATTAAGACTAGCCTAGGTTCTATCAAAATTCCGGCAGAACCTCCCCTAAAATTTGACTTTCTACATGTTTAGACAATATTAAATAACACTAAATACTTTTCAATCAATACACACAGCCCATCTATCGCGCAATCAAACAAATTTATTTCCCTTCCTCCATCCAAAGCAATCACATTAATATTTAATTGTCAATGCCAAACTTTAACTTAATATTTAATTGTCAATGCCAAACTTTAACTTGCTTATATAATGTTTAAGAAAATAAATAAAAAGCAAATTAGTGGAAAAAGCTATTTGCTTAAACATCAATTCTATCTAGTTAAAACTATCCAACTGTATACTATTAACCATCATACACATCTATAACTTATATAATCCTTGTCCATAATTAACTGGGGTCTCATGATTCAGTTTAATTGAACTGTAAATCATTATCCTGCATCACCAACAACACCATATGTACTAACTCATTTAACCGTGTGATTCAATTATAATTAAAAAATTTGTAACACATCAAAATAGTAAGGAAAATCTTAAAGTACACTCGTTATATATATTTGTCCTTCTAAAACAACAACAAGATCTCAAAGGTAGTTGCTGGCCGCTATACAAAAATTTCAGAGTTTCCTTCGCTATGCAGCAAATCATAGATTATAACCCACCAATTAACCAACTCCCTTTGCAAAGATTAATAACTTACAACCCATATGTTACTATATCCAGCAATTACTTTATAGGAATAATTAAAGAATAATTAAAAATAGTTGCTGCCATTTCAAGAAAATTCTCATTTTTGTTCTATCTCGATCATTAAACCTTTACATTAACAACAAGTTATGAAAGACATAGTTCTACCATTAAATATGGACTTAACTCAACAAAAACTATAATCTTCTTTAGCTAGAGGCTGCCACTTTAAATTCAATACTCAATTCTTCTAAAGCTACATGAATCACTTCAAAACACTCACTAGTTAGTAAATAAAATCAAACCTTTTCCTAAAATTTGCATAAGTAGAATATATAGGGATTTAATCCTTACTCTAGCTTGACTAATACATGAAATTCCATATCCTAGCACAAAGAATTCACAAAATATGCAAAAAAGAAGTTAAAGATGAACTTACCTAGTCTGTAAAACGAGCTGAAAATTGGAATTTTTCGGTTAAAATGACCGAAATTTGCTCTACTACCCAAGATCTGATTCTGCTGGCATTAGCTTGTGATTCTGCTGGGCATTAGCTTGGCTAGAGCTGGAGGAGGAATCGGTCGGTGAGGTCGCTAGAAGGGTGGAAGAGCTTCAACCGGCCGTCCTTGGCTGGTTTTCGCTGGAGGAGCAGAGAAACGATGAGTCGATCTGTTCGCCAAACGCAGCAAATCGCGATCGTAGCTCAATCGTTTTTGCCTTGGCCAACCGTACAACAGAAGAGAGAATGCGAGAAAGGAAGAGACCGAAGCTTCATCGGCTGATCGCTGGTAATTGAAGTCGCTAGAAATCGAGTGAGCTTGCGACGTGAATTTTCCGATGGCGAATCGCAAGTTCCCTGGCGATAGCTTGCGCTCGCCAAAGACGAAAGGAGAGAGAGGAAGAGAGGCTGGAGCTGCGGTGAGGCGGCGGCGTGGCAAGGAGGTGCGGCGAGGAGGCGCTGGTTCTGGTGGTCGGAACAACGAGACCAAGGGGAGGGGTAGCTACTGGGGTCGGCGTTCCAGAGGGAAGGAAGAAGAAGAAAGAAAAAAAATGAGACAGAAAATCTGAGTTTCTATACTATTCCGGTTCGATTCAAATTGATTTGGTCCAAATCAGTAATTTGGCTCGATTTTTATTTGGTTTACGGATTTTCACCTGGTTTTCAAAAAATTCAAATTGGTTTTTGGGTTGTTTTGATTTATTTTTAATTATTTTACTTAAGTTTCAGAACATTTCCTTATTTTACTCAATAATAATTAAAACAATAATTTCAGAACATTTCCTTATTTTACTCAATAATAATTAAAACAATAATAATAATGATATTTGATTTTAGGATAATTAATTTATATGGTAGTTACACCCACGTATATTTATAACAGAGCTGGAGTTCCGTATTATTTCTCGAAAATTTTAAGTGTTCTCAAATCGAAATTTCCGATAATATATTTTTAGATTTGGGCCCAATTGGCAAATTTAGGCTCGAATCGAGACAGTATTATATGCAGCCCATACAGTTAAAATTTCTGATTTTAATTTAATAAAAATTTAAAAGTTTCGAAAATAAAAATTCGAGGCATCTCAACTATACAAGACTATTCCTTCATTAAAAATACAAGTAGCCCAAAACTTAACCATCCACAAACCTATACCAAGTTCCAAGAATTGGACTTCGGCCAGGTAGACCTGTCTTTGGTTTTTCCTTTCTCGGACTAAAATTCCATTATATTTAGAAAATGAATTTTTTAACATTTTTTTAATTTTTTAAAAATATTTGTTTATTATCCATTTGCCATCAAGAAAATATTAAAAATTAAAAATATTGATCCGTAAAATATTAAAATATTTTTAAGTTTTATTTATAAAAACAGTGAACTTTCAAATTTTTTACTCTCATAAATTTAAAAATTTTAGGTTTAGTGAAATCATCTTTTTTTTTCTTTTTTGTAATGATTTTTTTGTAATGAGTTTAATTCTGTAACTATAAGTAAATATTTCAATGCCCTTTTTTATTATTTTAAATTTAATTGTCAATCAAATAATTATTTTTATCGAAACACTTTTATTTTCAATTGCTACTTAGTTAAAAGCTAACAACTAATATCTAACAGCCATTAAAATAATTAACAACTATTAAAATAACTAATAGTTGCTAAAATAGCTAAATTTACAAACAGATCCTTAGTCTAATCTACGTCTCACACTATCTATGAATTTTTCGATTAATAGACCTTAATGATGGTTGAAGGAAATTTGGTTCGTGAATAATGAGGCCGGAAGACTTGCATGAGTCATTGGCTGGTGGACTTTTAACGATACAAATTGCTTTGGCTTGGAATGAAAACCATAGCATATATGGTTTTTAACTTTAATTAAAGGAATTGTGGAGCAAAAATAAAGACCTTGCATAAGTCTTTCAAGAACGACTGATTTGATTTTGACACAAATGTTTCCAATTTCCGTCCTTCTCAATTCTAAGCATTCATCGTTTGATTGTTTTTTTTTTTTTTTTTTTTTTTAGAAGAAGAGGAAACTTCATTAATGAATAGAACCAGAAATAAAGAGACATTCAACATGAGAAGAGCGTCGACGTGAGAAGAAATCTCAAACTAAATATAAAAACAAGATAATATTGCTAAAGCATGAGAAGCTTTATTTACTGATCTCCTAACCTAATCAGTAGTAAAATGATCACTGTTGTCACACAACTCAAACACAATCTCTAGAACAAGATCTGATTGTCTTATAATCAGAGGATTATAGTGATTTTGCAAAATAAACATTTGCATGTAATAAGCATATGAAATCCTTATCAACATAATTCTCAACTCAATAGAGTTAACTAACTAATACTAATAATATAAATAAGGCTTAACAAATAAAAAAAACTAATAATTTAATAAATAATAAAAAATTTTAATCAGAAATACTTTTGGTCAATTGAATCTATTTTCCTGCGATATTATCCTGAATATAATAAATTATTGAGAATAACTATAACGAGAATGATGACCAAATATAATTTTTTTCTTTACTTTATGTGTGGACGTTTATTTTTTAATTTTAATTTGTTTTGTTCATGAAATTTTAAGATTAAACTTAAACCTCACTAATAATATTTTAAGATATATAATGTTAACAAGAAATTTGAACTCACCTTCAAAATCATCGTTTTACCCTTATTAATATATACACGCAATGTCACTTTACCATTAAACTAAAAAAAAGCAATTATTTATTCGAACAGTTATAGTACAATTAAATCATCGCCTTTTCTTAATGTATTAATCAATCTCGATTGTAACTTATTGTCAAAACCCAACATTTTTCTTCTCCTTTTGTTTTTCTTTTTTCCAGTCCACTTCACAACTGACTCGACAGACATAGTTTAGCTAACGAATTTCTTAGTTTGTAAGATTTTAAATACACATATTCATTAAAACATTATGTTTGGAGGAAATATGATCATATGAATATTTACATTTTGCAATGAATATTACATTTGCATGACCGTAACGAAAACGTAGCATAATGGTTAATTTATCAAAGAATTTAGAGGCAAAGAAAGACTTGCATAAGTCTTCGGATAGTGACTGAATTTGACACAACACTTCAATCTAGTCGTACTCAGGCTTAACTATTCACTTGTTGATTGACTTTTTTAATTAGAGGGTTATAAGTGATAGGCAAATAAATTTCATCCTTTGCTTGAAGATAAGGATCCATACTCTAATAATATCCGTACGTGGTACATGAAGTATGGAAAAACTTATTTATACTCTGTTTATACCTCTACCTATAAACTAAACTAATAAAATTTAATATTTTTTTTATTTCTGTTCATACATTTGGTAAAAAAAAAAAAGTCGAAACAATTTTTTAAAAAATTCTTAATTTCATTTGCTTGGTCTATAAATGAGGTCATGCACCGGATGTAGACAAAATTTTTCCATATGGTGCATGCATGCAAGACTTGAAAAGTTCTTGCCTTCTTAGATATACTTTTATTTTATTTTGGTTTTAATTATGAGGTGTTCAAAAATACAAAAAATATCAGTCTAGCTTATTATTCTGAATTCTCTTTTTTTTTTTTTTTTTTTTTTTTTTGCAAACCTTGAGGATTTTTTCAAAAAAAAAAATAAAAACTTTTGAGAAAAAGATCGTAAATGCAGAAACAGATAATTTCTAAAAGATAAAATTTATAATCCACTTTAATTTATAATCCACTTTTGTTAAAAATAATAAGAGTAAATTATTCTAACTATTAAAAAAAATTATGAAACAAAGTATAGTGTAATTTATAATAACAATAAAAATAGAATAGAATTACGGTGGCTCTTACACTAAGTGGTAGAAATTAAAGAGCGGATGTTTTAAATAATTATAAAAAAAAAGGAGACAGAACATTATCATGATTCAAACAAAAAGGGAATCATGTGGTCTATAAATAGGGAGTGATATATGCTGAAATTGATCATAATTAAATTTGGCAAACACAAAACATGGGTTTTGGTTGCTTACTATGGCATTTTCAATTTCTCTGCCTATTTCACTTCTATTTTCAATCTCTTTCTTCAAATATTACAATTACAAATCCCCCTTTCCTCAAATGTAGTTTTGCCAGCTTGAATCAAAAAGCAATGCCTTGCTTCCCAATTCAAAAACTCCTTTCCATTAACGGGAGTTAATCATCCTTTATTAATTCTTAATCCCAAGAACAGATTTCATGGAAAGAGGGCACGGGATTGTTTGCTTCTTTTTGGGATCGGTGTCCGTGTGACTTTAATACTGGCTATGTGATTGGGCTTAACCTTTCTAGGCAGTATGCTTTACGGTACTTCCATTCTAAATCAATTCCTCTTTGCTTTCATCATCCTCACAAACTAGATTCTCTCTTATAATAATTTACAAGGCTCTATCCATTCCATCTCAAATTGGCCATGTTGTTGAGCCTTGACACACCTTGATCTAAATAATTCAAACCCTTGATGGCCAATTCCATTAGAAATCGGTCAGCTATCAATTTGGTTTCTCTTTGATCTTTTCCTGGAACTTTCGTTTGACATTAGAAACAACTGGTAGTTTTGACCAAGCTTATTCGAAACTTAACACCAGTTTTGAAAGAATTGGACCCTTGAAGCGGTGCAGACTGTCTTTGGGTTTCTTCTAAATTGCTTTATCAATTTTATCTACTTCTTTGTCATCCCTCAGACTCTCATCTTGTGGGTTTGAGAGGGAGATTTTCCCAGATAGTATAATTCAAAGCTTCCACATCTCGAAGTCTTAGACTTAGCGGTTACAATGAAGGCTCATGGCTGTATTCAACCGTCCAATTTGGAGTCTTTCACTCAGCCACTTGGTTCAGTTTCTCTGACTGAAATTTCCGATTTATTTAGAAAATGAATTCTTTTCAAGAATCTGAAGTTGTTGCAAGTACTGGAACTCAATAGTTGCAATTTTTTAATAGGGTCTAATCTTGAATTGTTTGGTAATTTACCAACTCATTGTCTTGGAACTTGGACGATAATAATTTCCACTGGTCAAATTCATCCCTCAATTGGAAAACTTGACAAACTCAATGAGTTGGGACCTTTCAAACAATAATTTTAGTGCCCAATTCCTCCTCATTTGCAAACCTTAAGCCGCTCATCTATTTATATATGCAAAGCACCAATAATCAATGTGTCCCAATTCACCTTTCACTTTGGAAACTTTAACAACTCCAAATTATTTGTTTCCCTTTCATGAACAAATAATTTTAGTGGCCCAATTCCTCCTCATTTTGCAAACCTTTAGCCACCTAATCTATTCTATTTATATATGGAAAGCAACAATATCAATGGTCCAATTCCATCTTTCATTAACTCAATAGTTGCAATTTTATAGGGTCTAATCTTGAATTGTTTGGTAATTTATCCAAACTCATTGTATTGGAACTTGGAGATAATAATTTCACTGGTCAAATTCCATCCTCAATTGGAAAACTTGACAAACTCTATGAGTTGGACCTTTCATACAATAATTTTAGTGGCCCAATTCCTCCAGATATTTGCAGGCTCTCCAGCCTTGTGTACTTGATGTTGTCTAATAACTTGCTCACTGGTCAAGTATGTCAATTCAAATATAATAATACATTAGAATATGTTGATTTGAGCCATAACAGTTCCAAACTCAATTTTCAATCAGGTGGACTTGACGGGTCTCATTCTTTCATCAAATGAGAAATTGACAGGAGAAATTCCTTTTGCATTTTGTGAGTTAAAATCACTCCAAATCCTTGACCTGTCGAGTAACAATTTCAGTGGTCCCATTCCACAATGTTTGGGAAACTTCAGCAATAGCCTTTCAGTATTACATCTGGGTATGAACAACTTTAATGGAGTTCTCCCTCAAGTATTTTCAAAAGGCAGTAACGTGAGATATTTGAATTTCAATGGCAACCAACTGCAAGGGAAAATCCCAACATCCATTTCCAATTGTAAAGATTTGGAAATTTTAGATATGGGCAACAATGGAGATAGAGGGACAACACATTCCCTTCTTTTCTACAAACTCTTCAAAAGTTGCAGATTCTACAGCTACGATCCAATAGACTCCATGGTTTGGTGAAAAGCCACTCCATTGCCAACTATCCTTTCCCAAGTTACGGATTTTCGACCTCTCCAACAACAATTTATGTGGACCTTTACCTTCAAATTATTTCAATAATTTCGATGCAATGATCAATGTTGATCAGAATATGACATACATGAGAGCACCAAACTACTCCTCTTATGATTATTCTGTGAGCTTGACATTGAAAGGATTGGAAATGAAAGGATTGGAAATTGAGTTGGTGAAAATCCAAACTCTTCTTACAAACATTAATTTGTCAGGTAATAACTTCACAGGAAAAATTCCCAAGTCAGTTGGAAAGCTTAAAGGACTTAAGCAGCTCAACATGTCTCATAACCATCTCACAGGCAATATTGAACCATTAATAGGAAATTTGACCAATCTGGAAACTTTAGACCTCTCTTCAAATAATCTTACTGGAAGGATTCCGATCCAATTGGCAACTTTGACATCCCTCGAAGTATTTCGTGTTTCGTATAATCAACTTGAAGGACCCATACCTACAGGCCCTCAGTTCAACACATTTGATAATAGCTCATATGAAGGAAACACAAGACTGTGTGGATTTCCACTGCAAAAGGCTTGTAATTCTGGTGAAAGGCAACAGGTCACGACACCATCAGGTGAAGAAGATTCAAACTCTGATGAAAAAGGATTTGGATGGAAATCTGTTTTCACGGGATATGCATTTGGAGCAGTGTTTGGTCTCGCAATGGGATACCTTGTGTTCAGAACAAGAAAACCTGCTTGGTTGGTGAAGCTGATTGAAGGTGAAGATTGAAGGTGAAGGACATCCAAGGCCGAAAATCAACAACACCTGCATATCTTATCAGAGAAGAAGAAGAAGAAGAAATTAGTGAATGGAATTGCTTTCTGAAGGTAAGTTTTAATATCTGTCTTCATATGTAATTAACAAGACTTTTATTTCATGATGAACTTTGGAATTTGCTAGGTAAATCAAATGATGAATAAGCAGATGGTGCATTTGCATGCGAAGTGGAAAGAAGAGATCTCT